GTGTACAGTAAAATTGGAGGCGTTAACTACTGTACAATTAATTGTATCTCTTTAAACTGAAGCTTTTTACAATGTAGTAGGAGTATTTGTTTGTATTTTAAGTCGCAAAATGAACAAATACTGCTTGAATGTGCTTGTATAAATTCAAATTAATGGTTGATTATCATCGCGAGAAATCGCGATAATAGGCGATAATAGGCACATCCCCATGAAAAAGAACAGAATTGCAGGGAGTGCATCGTGGCGCCTAAATGTGCCTTACCTACTGGAACTGATTTGTGCGGAATGCATTGTTGAAGTAGAATAGTTTATGCCGATATAGAACTGTTTTTTTTTCCAGAATGCATTGAAATATCTTGATTTTATCATAAATATTATCAATGTATACAAATTGAAATCTACATTTTCGAACTTTTGTGAATTACTTTTTTCTGTAAAAAAACACGTTAAGCTCGGTTGGTAACCTACTTAATACTCAATCAAAGTATGGGATTCTCGGCTAAATCTGAAGTCTTAAAAACTCCATGAGAGCACTTAACCTTTCAAAAAATGATAAATGATCGTCAATAGCACTTTTGTTGAAAATGGTTTAGATTTCTCCTGTTATACCTATACCACAGCTGGTGCCGGGCGTGATAGTCTTAAGGATGGCTTCAGCCACCACTTGTTAGGTATACGGAATATTCCGTTACACTGTAATGTCTGTGATTAAAGGGTGACGAGAGAAACCCGCCGGTGAGAAAAGCAATACTGAACATGAAGCCAGACAAGTGTCCTTGTAAGCGCTGTATATTGCTCCGCTAATGAGATTCACTGACACCCACAGAAGCGCATGTATTTACAATAACGGTTCCATGTTACTCTCGCATACCGAGATGAAACTGTCAACTGACATCAATCTTCTGTGATTTGTAAAGATTTGAAAATTTCGATTTCGATTTTCATTTTTCATTTTTCGTTCTTACACCATTACATGTACATGCCATGGCTTGTCTCTGCTCAGAATGCACAGACGTTAGATACGTGATAGGGTTTTGCAAAGCATTCAATGATACCACAACGCAAACTCACTGCCAACTGCCTGTCAGGGTTACCGTAATTAGTCAGGCAGACTGTAAAGAAAGGTAACAGCTTGATTTTGAACACCTGATCAGATAAGGAACATTTACTACCGGTATGATTCGTGTCTTCGTATCTCGACTATACGGTTTTTAGCCATTGTATTCAGCCATGGTATTTAGAAATGATCCCAGTAATTTTTCATCAAAACCACTTCGAATATAAATTGAACTGATCGATTAAACATTTAATTAGGAAACACACTTTCAAGAACGTCGTATTTGTCAAATACTCAAACAAAGCCATAATTTATAAAGCGACAATATGATTTAATAATCTAATATCCTTGAATTGTTGCATCATTGGTGTTGTTGATTCCAGTATTGCAAAGAAATTTAACAAAATTTAAGTTATACACTTTTAAATATTCAAATGAAGGTATGCAACACAGTTCTGTTCAAACACATTTTCCGAGAGGCGATAGCGCGCATCATGGAATACGTTTGAAGAAAACTGTGTTGCATACTCTTATTAATGCACAAAAAGATGTATTTCAAACCTTACATGCTATTTAGTAGGAAAAATAGTGTTGATATGGTTTAAAAAGGAGGAATGTTATTTGATAAACAGGAATGTTTCTTAACGAGGAGATAAGGTGCTTAAGTGCTTTAGAGAAAGGAATGCTGAACAAGAATGAATGTTGTTTACCAAGGAAGGGGTATATTTTTATAAGGAGGGTGTCGTTAAACAAGGAGGAATGTTGTTTAAGAGAGAGAGGAATGTAGTTTAGCAAAACTGAATTTTATTTAATAAGAAGGAATGTATTCAAACAAACAGGATTGATGTTTAAGCAGAAGAAATGTAGATTATACGCGAGAGTGTTTTTTAACGAGCAGGAAGGTTATTTGTTTAAGAAAGAGGAATGTTGTTTAACAAGGAATAAAGTTGTTAAACAAGCAGAAATGTTATAATAAGGAGGGATGTTGTTTTACAACGCGGTGTGTTGTATGACAAGAAGGAATATTGTTTTAGAAGGGGAAGTTTAGAAGAAATATATGACTAACATATCAGGAGTTAGTTTGACTATCTGGTTTAACATGATATTTGAATATGCACCGTAATATGATAGATTGTATTATTTTCATTTTCGATATAATTTTTCAGGACTTGCCACATGTATACTATACTTAACTGTTCTTATTCTTAAAAAAAGAAGTGAGTATTTTATACATTGATTGATATACATTCCCCGTGTTGCTTGATGATTCATTAGTCAATCTTGCCAGACTATATTCACCAGTTAGATTATATACGTTATGTGTTGGCGTTACATACATACACTATGCCTAGTCGACAGTGATAGTTAAACAAAGCACAATGATTCTCGAACGAAACACAATGACTCAAACACAAATAATCACACAAACAAAACGCTATGATTCACACAAACATAACAAAATCCATCACAAGTAACAGAACACCTCATTTCATATCAAACAAGCATACTGCTTGTCAAACCAAATAAAATATTATATATCTACCCAAAGAACAACAACACAACACCGACGTACAGAACTATTTCACGCCATCATATCATTATAAGATTTGAGCATCTCCATTTCGAAATTAGTGATAATACCGTGATCAATCATTATGTGTCGACACGCATTAAGTACATGTACTAACTGGTCAATACAACATTTTATTAATCAACGCGAAACGTATTGTGGAGTATTACATCCAATAGCTATATTAATTTTGAATTGGTACTCTCGAATTATCTTCATAAGCAAGACGATTTCTTCTTTCCGATCGTGAACACACCGTTTGCCCAACCTATGTTTATATGTATTTGTTTATTCGGTATTCAAGAGTTCGCTCTTTATAGCATGACCTCCGGTATAGATACGTGTATCGACTGCTGACGGACACATTGACAACATAGGGTTTTCAAAGATTCAGGTTGATTAAGACTATGTACACGTTTTATGGTCGTCGTCATGATCTTATATGCTATTTCTTTGGGTTATATAAGGGTTGATATTTTTGTTAGTGTATCTTGTGGTCTTGTTGTCACTACCCTAGTTGCGGTGTGATGACGTGACAATACTTGCGTTTGACCTAGGTTTATATGGCGGTTGTCGCCGATTAAGTATAAGACGCGTACGTTTGCGGAACAGATGGTCTTATTCTGCTTGTACTCTTTCAAAGATATCCATGTAAATGGTTTCTCAAATTGTCCCCTAGTTGTATCGAATAGGAGTTCGAGTTCTGGTTTTGCTGACACTATAATATTGTTTGCTTTTGGGAGCTTAGACCGTGACCTGATAAGATTTAAATGTCGAAATCCGTTTGAAGGAATAGATTTACATCTCCTTTACATTGAATGATATGTTATGAAGTTCGGTTGATGTATAGTTAGCTAATATACCAAGAAATGGTACAGGACTGCCAAAAACGTCAAACAGTGCACTTTCTGTTTCTGACACGTCACCTGAATTGAGGCCTGTTACTGCAGTAGGTTAGTAGAGGAACGGCCCGGCCTATCGTGCAGGGATATTTTAAGAACGCTTCATGATATGAACACATATTTTATAGCGAAATGCTCGACAGTTGATATCAATCAACTGAGATGATGCGGTATTGTTACAGCACATTAAGTACAGGAAAAAGAAAGTGCATCCCTATCTAATAGCTGTAATTGAAAAATAACCACTCAAAGCTTTTATGTAGGACATGCAGAACTTTTTAATGAATTTCGCAAAATCTAAATCAGCACAGTCAATTTCCATGTAGGAAATGCACTTGGTATTTTGTATTGAGAATGGAATTTCCCTTCTAAATTACCTTTGCACGTATTTCCGCTAAGCCGTGGTTGTCGGCATGGGATGTCGGCTGTTGTCATACAAAGTATCAAGCCCGTACCAGCATGGCACTAGTATTTCGGTAGCAGCCACATCCATTTATTTCTGAAGTGTAATACATGGTTCAGACCTTAATATCAGTCTATAAATGCTGTACTTGACATATTGATGAATGCTGGATTACACTAGCTCTAATAGACATGTTCCTGATCTACCGATAGCGATGACACCCCCGTTATGTTCCCCTGTGTATAGCGTCTGGGGCTGCTCTTTATTACATCTCGATAGCGTATATATACAAATAAAATCAGCATATCCCCATACAGCAATAATAATGATAGTGTCAATATATTTTATTGTTATTCAATATCGTTATATATCTACATTGTACATATATAAAAATATATCGTGAATTTTTAGTGTTTAAAATACGGGATAGTTTGTCTAAAGACGCAAACAATTGAAAGATCATGCAACAAATCAAAATTCATATTATCATAAATTGATCAAAGTAGACCAATTCAGAAGTAATTGAGTTACGATATACAGAGTGCAATAGGGGCTTCGTCATAACAGGGATAATGGACACGCTAAACTGTGTTGCTGATAGAGTTTAAATGTCTGCAATATATAGGTTATGAAGGAGAGCGTAAGATTGGATTGACAATATATCAATCTATATAGTACTTTGAGAGAGGCGTTACTTACAATTCCCACGTATAGTGAAAATGTTGAAAGGTCACCATTGTTGCATCGAGAAACCAATACTATCTCATGACACGCAAACTAATTGTTGTAGTAATGTAGAATGTAGACATTCCAACACCCAAAACATTTAGGTTTTAGCAATCTTCTAAACCCGCTTGTGCACACATTGAGCGTTGCACGTTCATAACTAGAGCTTTAGGGGGAATTTGATTTGCATGTTTTCATGTATTCATAAATAACGGGGTATTGATATTACAAAATATTTGAATTCAAGGATTTGCAAATATTTGCATTTTTTTCCCCCTTTTTTTTTGCATAAATAACTTTAAACTGTATTCAACGATAACACATATTGTTTCCTCTTAACAGGATATGACGTGCTACCGGACCTACAGGGAATTCCCGAGAGTGCTTTCTACAATGTCACTTACGTAGTTCATTCTTCGGATGATAGACAGAAAATGAATCACAATATACGGAATCAGTCAGTACCGGACGAACAGCGACTTATGTATTACCTCCTAATGGGATATGAAAAGTCTGTCCGGCCTGTTCGAAACGCTAGCAAACCAGTTGTAGTGGGAATGGGCCTAACTATGACTCAGATATTTGACATGGTAAGTATATTTTGTTGTCATATCTTAAAGAATTAATTTTAATGACGTACCATCATCGTTGAATATATTTAACAACTATATACTACTTAGAGAAGATACAAAATTTAATAGATGTATTGATACAAGAAAGAATTGAATAGTTCATTATTGTATGAAATTGAACAATACTACATTTGTAAGAACAATGTCCTGAGAAATCTACTCTGCAATGATTCAACAGTTCCAGTTTGTTTATATTGATGGGAAATATGTGACGTAGTTATAAAACAACTTGACATCTGTATTTATACAGAATAATACATTGCCAAGGACAATATTTAAGTACGTCTAATAAAACGCCAAGTCTGTTAAGAGGGATGCGGGAAAAAAAGACTAAAAATAATCACTGATCCAATTATAACATAAACTTTATCCGAGGGGCATTTACTCTTTGTTTACATTTGCTAACAAAGTTTTCACCACCAGGTTTAGAGATGCTTGTAAAATCGAGAGAGGGTTTATTGTGCTCTTCCTCTGAAACTAAAGAAAAAGGTTTGCTACCCCTGACGTTATGTTTAGGTCTACTGTCTTAAGCTATTTTTCTTACACAATACCTAATCCTTTTTCGGCGATATTCCCATTGAAATATTAATCTGTTACAGTATCGCAATAATGGTAGAGTGTCTTGCCACCGTGTCCAACCTCTGACATATCAATAAGATAAAACTTAAAAGTGGTATGTAGGAATAACCATCATCTACAGACGCACTCTTTATGTGACCTAATATGTTCTGTTGACACAAACACTTAAACAGACAAACAAACAAACAACAGCGAGGCTATATACAAAGTTTAATGTCTTATGCTTAATAATGCGAAAAGATAATTATTGCAAAATGCGACTTTACATGAACTCATCTTTAATAACTAGCATTGAAGTGCAACTTGAACCACGCATTGAACACATTGACAAGCTCGCCATTTTGTATGATAAATACTTAGGTTCTTTTAACTTTTGCTGGAAGGAACCGTACTGTCAGGGGACAAGGATGTAGGCTTGCTTAATGTACCACTCACCACCAAACACTGTTTTAAATGACCTTGAATCTTTGTTAACGTGCACAACGGTATAAACAATGGTTCCATGTGCTGGTGTAGTTTGACCAACCTATTGCTATCAGCTTGTAATTAAAGCAATCGAAAATATAAAATACTGTTAATACAACTTTGAACATAATACAGACGATGTGATTAGTCCGCTCTTAACGATAGACGACGTACCCTTTTAATAAATATTATCATGCAATTCTACCGGAGTGAAAGTTTGGTAGAGCTTTCCAGCACGTAGTAGAGGAAGTTTTAAACTTCCGTTTGATGTTTACTTGTATCAGTTGCATCGTCAGGATTGCAATATTAAAATTACATTGTAATACTGATAACATGTAGCGTCAGTGTGTTTGACTTTTTGTGTGTGTGCCTTGGTTTGTGTCTTTTTGTCGAATAATCAGATTTTTATTCGCAGTCTGTGCTAGTTGAGTTGGCAAACAAACCTTTTTAAACTCTTTTTCGACAACATCGAGATTTTTTCTTTAAATATTAAACCATTTCATTAAAACCTGTTGCCGTAAGAGTATTGAATTATTCAAGGTATCGCTTAAATTTGTCTATATCAGGTCTGCGTTTTAACACGTGTGTTTTCACTACCGTTATCATAGATATAAAGGTACAAGTAAGTAAACGGGATTTCCAAAAAAGTATTCTCCGTATAAAACTGTGTTAAGTCCATGACGTATAGCTGCCAGGTGGAAGGAAACACTAAATGTGTCTGTATACACTTTTGGCGTGCCTGTTAAGGTTAGGGTACGTGTGGTCAGGACATTACGTCGATACATCAGCCATCTTAACGTTATCACCAAATACAAGCCCGGTAGTTGGCTTCCGACCTGTAAACACATTTGTTTGTCTGGCTAGGCTCACAATAACATATAATTACATGAATAAATGGACATCGTAATATTAACTATATCCATTGTCTAAATTCTTGTTGTATTATCCTTTTAAAATGCAGTAGTCTATATCCGTAATAAAATAAAATAAATACGACATAAGAATTCTTCAATAACAAAGTAAGATTTAATACAATCTAAACACATCTATTTGGCGGTGCTTTTCGTTAGAGATTCATATGCATTACCATAGTAACCATGATTATATATACAGGCAACTGAAACATGCCGTTAATATTACATGATCATATTGTCAAATGTCTGAAAAAGTGTCCAATTCATGAGGTGAATTGAAAACAATGCCCCACTCAGAAGTAAATTATACAATTTCTGCAAAAATGGCGTCTCATTTATAGAATGCATGGTAGATAGTCCCCAAATTAGCAAAAGGTAATCAGATGTAAGGAAAATAGTGTCCGATTCAGCAGTTAAAATCATCAAATGCACAATAGTTCCCCTTTCATCAGACGTCAGAATAAAATATTGTTCCATTCTTTTTGTCTGGCCAAAAGAGTCCTCTTTCATCACGTGTCTAGACAAATACCCCCTCCCCACATCTATCAAGGTTTATGTACTATTTATTCACCACTCTACCTCAACTCTGATTCTTACTTTAAAACCGATTTTATAAATTTTGAACCAGAAGCACAAAAGGCCTTGTTATCACTTCATTGTATCAAGATAATCACAGTTGATTCTCTACGTACAGGATAGATTTATACAATACATTTTTCTTCTATAAATCACAATACGCTTAATAGTGATTAATTTACACTGATTCAACAGGGATCCGACCAGAAGCGCATAAGTAGTCATTAACACTATACGTTACGACCAGGCGGTGACAACACAGGATACATCTTACAGTGAAAGGGTATCTGTCCGATTATCTTCTGATTCACACTGTAGATAATAAAAAACAGTTTTGTCTACGAACTGATGACACGTCTATACGTCTTGGGTTAAGTGTTGCACCCGAGACCGATAGATCACACTTCAGGACGACATCTCCTCACAGGGGGTCAATACTCATAAACACATCAGTCCATAATCGGAATAACATATTTGCTGTATTAGCGACATATGTTTCTATTTCATATTAAGTATAATTTGTCAAAGATCTAGTCTAGCTTTACAAATGTCAGTACCCCTGACGATGGTTTGTCACTATGAGATTATCATACCGTGTTACAATAGATTCAGGAGAATCTGTTATGTTTAATCACCATTTTGTACTAAAGATAACAAAGACAGCGCGTTCCTTTACATTTCTTTTAGTGCTAGACTTTAGGCACATCAAATGTTTAGTTGTCATTTCTTCATTGGAAGCCATGCACTGGGCGGTTTTCCTATTTGATAGCAGACTTACAGAACAGCATAACACTTGTCAGCATGAATTCATTGTGTTATACTTTGTTTCCAAAGGCCTAATATCTTACCTAAGTGACAAACACTTGATATGACATTTTGCTCTATTCATCTTTTAAACACGATGAATTATATCATTCCAACGTGTTATCTGCTTAGGTGATTGACATTATCTACTTACAATAAATATGGTTATATATGCGTTTAACACCCTTTGCTCTCTGTGTTAGGCCTCTCTTTGTCATTCACTGCAAACTTGTCTTTCATTGTTTTAATACAGGATGAAAAGAATCAAGTTCTTGTTACCAACGCCTGGCTGGATCAGGTAAGTTATTGTATAATCATATCTATTCTTAAGGAAGTGTCTTTTATTTCAATATGAACGCTACTAATAGCTACACAAATTGAATTATCCCACAACCACTTTAGGTTTCCATGATTCCGACTCGTGTGATAAATCTGCTAGGATTTCGTAAACATTGTTGGTTACCCACCATCCGGTGTTAGAGTAACACCCTTGCCGTAGCTTCATTGGTCAATCATTGGCGATATCATAGTTCATGGCAATTGTTCCCCCGATCGGAAAAAAAGGAAAAAGGCATTCCCAAGAAAAACGTATTGTTTTCTAGATATGATATCTGAACGTTGTGGGAGATAAACAGGCCCCCTAAATCGTGATTGTTGATAATCATTTACTAAGTCAAGTTAGATAAACATTACAAGATAACCGTCACTCGTTGTGGAACCTCTGTTTCTGAATAATCTTTATGAAATATAAAACACAAGCGAATATCAATGAAAAATGATATACTGAGAAGGCAATATCTCCTTTAAAGCAAACGATTGGGATTAAAATATTACTACAATAGTGAGATTTTAAGGGTTGATTAAAAAAGGCTTTTAGAAGTGTGTGGGACATCATGGGAATGACAGTCAAATGAACAAATCCATTAGTAGCCACTCTCTAAACAAATAAAGATTACAAATAAACTGGCATTGTTTTCTCTTCGACCGGAAGTATACGTACACAATAGACAGAGGTGACTGGGGTCGATTGTTTTGTAATACTATTGTAATATCTATATTCCAAAGTCTGCTTTGTCTTTAAGTTTCCATCTACAAATTGATTCGATCATATTTAATGATGGTCATCTGTATTTAACACACTTTCCATGGTTTATACTGCCACGTGCATTATGAATACCGTAACATTCTATCGTTTGAATTTATCACGTGATTTCGATACGCCTTGCACTGCTCTGATTGGCCAAAAAAAAACTTTGTTTTTAATATGATGTCGTATAATAAATATATTGCGAGTGGGAAAATATCTCGCAATGGTGTCTCAACCCAGTGATACATGAAAAACGGCATAATTTATCACAATTGTACCAGCGGCATATGAATTATTTTAGCGCAAAAACAAAAATGATACAATGCACTTTTTAAATATGAAGCATGATATACTTTTAGAGTAATCAGATAAGAAAGAAAGCATAATCAAATGTGAACAATATTCCTGTTAGTTTACGTCGCATTAAAATGCAAATATCAATAACTTCTGTCATTCGGTAACAAATTTGTCCTTTGAAGATATAAAGCATATTTTGTGCTTTAGATGGAGAAAAAAAATATAATTTCGACTATCTGGACGACATGTCGCCATCGGAAAAAAGTATTTTATTTTTACCCGCTAAATTATAGAAAGTTACCATTGCCTGCATATTTGTTTTCAAATAAAGTGTGAAGATGCTTTTACATTACGCCATTTAGTGTACATGTAACAATATTTCACGAAAATGCCGAATTACATGTCCTGATTTTGTCTTAGCATGATGACGTCATCATTTCAGTGTTTTCCATTGATCAAATATACGGCACCCTACATCGGGGTTGTAATTACCAAGGGGATATATAAATTGACCTTAATTGTTGTGTTCTATAGCTATTGACGCCACAAAAAGTGCCTCATTGTATACATTACGACGTCACGATGGGGTTAAGGATAACCTCAGCTTTAATCCATATTATCGTGTGATGTAACAGGGTTCGGTCATGCTTTATTATTTCATTAAGTAACAAACGATCCTGCAATGTATGGGTACATGATACAGGGGGAACACCATATTGACGATCGCAAAAACATGGTGTACTATTGTAAAATTCAATTCCAATCATGATCTCATCCTGGACTACATACGGGGGTTGTATGTATGTCATTTACGATCCTATCGAGTATTATATACAATTGTTACGATATGACAGTTAATCTTGTTTTAATACCTATGTATAGTAAAAAATCCAACACATTAAACACGTGTGGCATTCGACCTAAAATGACGATTCAAATTGTTGATACAGATAAACTATCGTGTTAGCTTAAGTTCAAAAATTCGTTATTGCTATACTATCAATTGAAAAATATGCTGAGAATAGTTCTTTTGTAAATTCGTCCAACTTTAATGAAATTGGTATTATTTGCAATATTCACATAAGTTAAATGTAAGTAAAATAATATTTTGATATGTTATACTGACTTGTCATTGAATACCTTTTTTTTTATCATAAATGAAGCTTACATATATATATATTCATGATCCTTGGACCTGACCTTGATATACAAGTGAATACTGACATGCAAGCAGTTGCCCGTGCGTATTAAGACAGACGCGATCTGATCAGGTTTTGTCTGCGTGCTTTATTGAATATAACTGTGTGCGAATCCCCAATAGCGTGACACAGCTGTCCAAGGGTAATAGAGGTTCATACCATTTAGAAGAGCTGTCATAATATCTAACATGCCGAGAAGTAAATAAGGTGCTGTATTCTTATTTTATTTCGCGGGGCTTTGATTTTACAGTTGTCTTGATAAGAACTAGTTCACGGGAATTAAATTTTTGCGATACATCGCTAGGTAAAACTATAGCGTGCGAGGGTTCTTTTGTATTAAGGTATTTGGTTTTATTTTACGAGCGTTTTGCAAAAATAAAATAAAATGCGATATTACAGTTGTGGAATCGCACAACGTTACACGATGCGCTGTGTGCGCACGAAGTGTGCACGGTGCTTGAAAGGTGTGTGCACGATGGGCGAACGATAAAAAGCTGGACGATCATTGCTTGCGCACATTTGTGCGCACGATGGACGAACGATGTGCAATAACAATCGGGGTTTGTGTAATTTGAGGAATGCCTAAACAATTTATACGGTTTCGTCTTTAATCATATAAACTTGATCTTTACGTATGTTTCTATATTCTAGCTACCTCTTTAAACTTATTTTTCTGTCTATACATTCTTATATTTAGAATTGTGTTTTCGGTGTTTTTTAAACAAACTTAATCGACACATGTACAATTACAACACAATCCCGTATACAGGTAAACATAGCCACTCTGTACATGTACCTGGACCGTAGTCATGGTAATGGTATTCGCCTGGTATTTATTTTTTGCACTATCTTTAGCAACCGTGAATATAGCAAAATTTAGAGCTGTGATTTAATCAATATGTATTAGTGAAGGTCATTATTTGTTACATTGTAGATGAAACGATTAATTAAGAAAACAATAAACTCACTGGAGAGTTTTAGTCATGCTGAACTTAAGCAGCCTACGTTCAATATATGACAGTTTATTGACCTCTACAGTCATTACAGAGACAAGCACAGCCAGTATGGTGACCTGTTCGAACATAATGATATACCGCTACAGCCATTAAGCTTTACTTGTATACAATATTGTATTAACATCAACATGAATACGGCGGAAGCTGTTTTCATATCCCATGATGGTCAGTGTAATTTATTAAGCAAACCCTGATTGAAATTTTATCTTATATTGCCATCAAAGATGATATTTAGCGGTTTGTACTTTACTAAATAATTAATACCAGTTCACGATCATATTCCAATAACGCCCAAACAGTATCCTATTTTGTGAATCATTGAAGTCTGGTTAGGATGCTTTCTGATAAGGCTTCAAGTATAAAAGATTACATTCTATGAAATATGACTTTATCGATCGAAATCGGTTGACATTTCCAACTATACTACAAAGGGTGTCGTACACGGAAATATATATTATGATTACCTGAAAATTCAATTACAAATCATTTCATGTCAAATCAACAATACAAATATTTAGTTAACTATTAAAAAGACATTTTATATATTTTTTTAATTTATGTTTTGTAATAAACACGTTATAATCACCCATCAGTATGGATGGAGAGCGAAGCATTCGTAGCTAGTTAAATACAGCTGTCTTACCTGATACAAGAATGTTTCAGATAGCACTGAGTGGCACTAGCTATTGGTGCTCGTGTGAATTGTATTGAAACAATGTCTACATCTGGTCGTGTTTTGGATTAGAGTACAATATGGCACTGTTTTGGCGAGAACGTTACGCCATTTACATATAAACACTACCGTGTGTTTGAGTAGTTTTCAAATTCAAACTGACATCTGTTTCCCTTGAGAAAAGGAAAAAGATCTATTCAAAATGGCCATGACCAGTACGTATTATCGTCGAGTGCTATTCGCAAAAGAAAAGTTAATTCTTCTGTAGAAATCTGCCAACGTTTCATGCATTCTCCATGGAAATCTTAACAAAGATTTAGAACATTGTCAGTCAATTTTAAATCTCGCGAGAGTTTGACCAGACGAAAGATATTATCTGTCATACGTCGGCGTCCCTAGTCTCTCGGAGAAATGTTTAATCAGAAAAGGCACGAACAGGTCTCTGCAAGGCATCTCCACTACCTAAATGTATAACTGAGCAGATTAAGGTAAACTTGGCTACATAATTGACTCTCTAAAGAAAGATACAGATAAAAACATGTAACACATAAAAGCTTAAAAGCCAGTATAGCAAACATTGTAAACACTGTATATGATGTTTTACGTCATGTTTGATAAGAAGAACAAAAGTTTGTGTTAATATTTAATTGAAAATATTAACTTTTTAACAAAGTTTAAAATATAGAAAAAGAATGGATGTGTCGCCGCTGCTCCGATGTCGTCAGACAGTGATTGTGAAACAAAACAAACACATAAACTGAAAATAAGACAGATTTATAGACATTCATAGTATCATACAGATATTGCAATAGATGTTTGTGTGTGTATTAAAACGGTTCAGTAATGCATAGTAATGAATACGTCAAGGTTACATGCACTTATAGTATAATAATAAGTATTAATACAGTGTCTACTTATTTATATCTGTTTCGGCTGTTGTGTGAAGAATGTGCGCGGTAGCGTCCTATTCTCCCGTGTTCAGATACAAGCAGTTCATTGAGATACCATTACATTAAAGTCGTCTTTAGATTGCCCCCATCATCAGTGAGCTCCTTCTATAGATGACCTTGACTGTCACATGCACGTGCACCGCCATCCCTAGAGAGAATACTAAACAATGGCATACAAACAAGCTTAATAAGAATGCGATTATTTCGAAGTTTTGCCTATTGTAAATGTTTTACTATTTCTTCAGATGAAGAAATCCTAATTTACTCAAATTTATAATGAATTATGTCTTTAACGAACTTATTCTATCAACTGTTTCTTCGTCAACGTGTTTCACTGTTGTATAATATGCAGGTGTGTTTTAAGCATGTACGTTGCTATTTAACATCGGAATGGCTTCAAATAGTAAGATACGTTTACAATTAAGTTGTTTATTTAAAAAAAAAATCTTGTCGGTATGAACGCAAATTGCTTACATCTTTATGGCATGAAGCCAACCAATTCTTGGATATATATTAAACAATCAACTACAGTTTTGGGCTCATATATTATATAGCCCGATAGTTAATAATTATTTTCAATGTTTATTTTTATATTTTGCAGGGATGGCACGACGAGTTCCTTATATGGGAACCTAAAGACTTCAACAACATCACAACATTAAGAATTCCTTGCGATAAACTGTGGTTGCCTGATATCGTCTTATATAACAAGTGGGTAGTTAAAGTTATTTGATATTTATCTAATACTGAGTTTTGCATTCCAATGTCCCAGCTGAAGATAGATAATAGATTTAGCGTTTAACCTAACAGAGATATCCATGCTAGAAATATCATATGACCACATGTTTTAACTTGAAGTCCCAATATTTACATCTGTTTGGCGCAATAAACATCAAATCATCTAGATCGTTAAAGGAAATAGGTCTGAATTATTAAAGAATATATGAGACATTCAATGGTATAAAGAAATGTATATGAATTGCACACAGGCGGCGATTACAGTAAAGGTTATAGGAAAGTCGTGGTCCCCTTGCTAGATAATGTCTAAAGTAATATGCATCTGCTGGAAGACCTACGGCTTTGATAGCCAATGCATTGTGTACAGCGATTGACACATGTGTGAAATCCCCCCCGGAGGACCGTACAGCAGTTCTGTGGAAATATCTCCATGTTTCCAAATACTTTTTATATTCAATTGTTTTCCGCTCGCCCGACCTGTGTAATCAACTATTAGCCACTGCTGGTAGCTGATGGGCAATTTGATAGTAGGTTCAGACAAATGTGATGTGATGCATCCCTAGATTGGAAATCTGTGTATGATGGCACACAAGTGACCAAAAGAGCATAAAACGGCGTAGATAACCGCGCATAGGTTTCGTGCGTGATATAATCGTGTTGTGAAATATATAATCATATTTTAGGGTATTGTTTAATATCGTTTAATCATCTTTAGAACTCTCAGTGGGTATACTCTTAGTTACTGCCCTCATTTCTGTAGAAAACGCTTAGTTACTGTATAGTGAAATATTGATAATTTATTGGATTATGCACTTAGTTACTGTGGTCGGCACACTTAGTTACTTCGTTTATACACTTTTGTAGTGTATTACACACTTACATGTACATGAAGTTACTATGTTTTCCACTTTTTAACTGGATTACACACTAAGTAACTGTAGTGCACAGTTAGTTATTGGATTATACACTTAGTAGCCGTAGTGCACTTTTAGTTACTAAATTTATACACTAAGTGAATTATACTAGGAGGTACTAGGTTACACACTTACATGTAGTTATTATATTTTCCACTAAGTAACTGTAGTGCACAGTTAGTCCTTGAATTATATACTTAGTAGCCGTAGTGCGCTTTTAATAACTAGATTTATACACTAAGTGAATTATACTAGGAGGTACTAGGATACACACTTACATGTAGTTACTATATTTTCCACTAAGTAACTGTAGTAAACAGTTAGTTATTGTAGTATACACTTAGTAACTGTAGGGCACTCTTAGTGACTTGATTATAAAATTACAGATGTAGTTACCGAAGTATACAATTGTTACGTTGTCTTGACAACAGTGTACCAGCAACTGTAATAGACACACATAGATATGTCATAACTCACGGTTTAACACACATTTTCGTCCTGTTCTGAATTCGCGAAACGGGATGAAAATATCGGAATTTACAGTAAATATGATGTCGTTCTAAACAACAAAAGCTTGTCCGTAATAAGAATGAGATTATCAAATAATTATATAAACAATTATGGTCGTAGCATCTGAGCTAACAAGTTACCTGTTCGAATCAAGAGAGTTCACACAATTCGACAAAGCTAAATCAATACCCGTCCAATGTTGGTCATTACAATGTGATATTGCCTGGCAAAATATCAAATCAACACAAGTCTGACCTTGAGTGACATGAGTTTATTTGAACGGGCAATTAAAATGAGAACGGAAAGATAATTTTCTGCGGATTGATAAATCAATTCATTGACCTCAAGGCTCCCCTTTTTATTTTATTTTGCTAAATCATGTTTCTTATGATAGTGTTCTTGAAATGTCTATATTACTATATTACTAACACTCTAAATACTTACAGTATTATTTTATGTTGTAGTGCAGCGGAATATACAGATGGGGTTATGCCTGCAAACGCTATGGTGAAAAATAATGGCGACGTGTTTTGGCCTGTTCCAACGAAATTACAAAGTTCATGTAAAGTGGATGTGACTTATTTCCCATTTGATGACCAAAGTTGTAGATTAAAATTTGGATCTTGGACATATGATGGGTATCAAGTGGACATAACAAACAGATCAGAAGAGGTAGACCTCTCCAACTATGTAGTAAACGGCGAATGGGAGTTACTTCAGGTTAGAGTTGTGAGAAACGTTGTTATTTACCCATGCTGCCCTGAACCCTTTCCGGATGTGACGTTTTATGTCCACATCCGACGTCGAACCTTGTACTATATGTACAATGTTGTGTTTCCGTGTATAATGATGTCGGCGTTGACACTACTCGTTTTTTGCCTGCCACCGGACTCGGGGGAGAAGATTGCTTTGGGAATCACAGTTCTCCTGGCCTTTTCAGTATTTATGCTGGCGGTAGCGGAAAATCTACCGGAAACATCAGAATTTGTACCACTCATAAGTAAGTATTTGTTATCACAATGTGCAAGTCTATTGATCATCGTTGAGATTTCCAAGGGCAATTATAGCATAATATTAAGCTGAAATAATTTAAAGCAAAAGTTGTGCATTTGAAAAGAAGTGTTACAACATCACACACGTCTTTAACAGACCAAAAACTCAACATCTAATTTGCCTTGGTATGTATGAAAGGTTCTTTCAAATAAACGTTTTGTAAGTTTTCAGTTTGATGATTTTGTTTGAGGTTGTGTTAAGAATATCAGCAACTATCTGCTACAGAAAATGGAACGAATAGCAGCTAATAGAAGAGCAGTGCTTAAACTTTTTTTCTTTTATAAAGTATTTTGAAAACGCTTTGTCGTTAAATATCCTTCTAATCCCAATCGTGACTATTTTAACAAACTCTGTGATAAACTCAACTATAATACTAACACTTGTGCCAAGGAATGGTGGAAAATTATAAATAGTTTTATGTCTAACTCTAAAAGAAAAGGCGGCATTCCTCCTATTTCTGACACTAACGACATTTTCTATGACGATCTCGATAAAGCAAACGCCTTTAACATTTTTTTCTCCTCACAATCTACTAATAATGACTCTATTATTGATCCCCCTGTTCTAAACTATTCTCATACTCACATACTTTCCGACATTGTAATATCTCGTCAAGACGTTCTTGATGCAATACATTTCCTTGACATTAAGAAAGCCTCAGGTCCCGACCTTATAAGTCCTCGTTTGATTAAGGAAGCTGCCGATATTCTTAGCTATCCACTACAAATCCTATTTAACCTTTCGCTCACTGAATGTATTTTTCCGTCATCTTGGAAAACTGCTCATGTGACACCAGTATTTAAAAAAGACGATCCATCTACTTTAAGTAAGTATCGTCCTATCTCTCTATTATCAACTGTTGGGAAAATGTTGGAACGCTGTGTATATAAATATGTTTACAACTATCTTATTGACAAATCTTTATTAACACCCTTCCAGTCTGGTTTCAGATCCGGTGATTCCACTATAAATCAACTTCTGTCTATTTCTAATGATATCTTCTCTGCTCTTGATAAAAGTAAAGAAGTCCGAATGGTCTTCTGTGATATCAGCAAAGCGTTTGACCGAGTATGGCATCGAGGCCTTCTTTCTAAACTAAAATCTTTCAGCATCACAGGAAATGTTTTTACTTGGTTCTCAGATTACTTACATAATCGCTGTCAACGTATTGTTATAAATGGAAAACAATCTTTTTTATCATATATCACAGCAGGAGTTCCACAGGGATCAATTTTAGGTCCACTGCTCTTTTTAATCTTTATAAATGATATTGTCAAAGACATCGATTGTACTATAAAGCTATTTGCTGACGATACGTCTCTATATGTCAAAGTGGAGTCACCGGGTCCGACCGCAAACCTGTTAAATAATAATATAATGAAAATTCATGATTGTTCTAAAACTTGGCTTGTAAATTTTAATCCTAACAAAACTGTAACAATGACTGTTAGTAAGAAACTCGAAAAACCGATCCATCCCTCTCTGTATATGAACAACATTTCTTTAACTGAAGTCACTTGCCATAAACATCTCGGTATCCTGGTATCTCTATCTTAGCCAATGGAAGTTGGAGTGACCATATTCAAAACATTATTAGTAAAGCCTCTAAAAAAACTTAGCATAATTAGGAATCTAAAATGTATCATTGATAGAAAGTCTCTTCAAACGGTATATTATACTTTTATAAGACCCTTATTAGAATATCGGATATTGTATGGGAGAACATAACTTTAGGCCAAAGCCCGTTGATTGAAAACATACAATTAGAAGCAGCCAGAATCGTGACTGGGGCAACCAAACTCACAAGTCACGACAGAGTATATGCAGAATCTGGTTGGGACCCCCTTATTGTCCGAAGGAGAAAACAAAAATTAATCCAATTTCATAAGATTGTTCATGGTCAGTGCCCTTCTTATCTTGCTAACGTTCTACCTGCTCGCCATTCAAATATACATACTTACAATACAAGAAGGGCTAACAACTTATGTCAAGTCAACTGTCGAACTAATCTACATAAAGACTCTTTCCTCCCCTCTTCTGTTGATATATGGAATGCACTACCAGATAACGTAAAATACAATCACTCAATTACTAACCTCAAAACAATTCTGAATGCCGACACTCTACCATTACTACTGCAGAAGCAGACAAGGTCAGATCCATCATGCACGACTTAGGATGAACTGCAGCTCCTTAAATACTCACCTGTTTGCACGAAACTTAGTTGATAGTCCCATGTGCTCATGTAATTTGTCTACTGAAACTACAGAACATTTCCTCCTCCAATGCCCTAACTACCAGCAGCTGATCATGAGAATCCAATGTTTTAGTCGCCTACCTCCTAACTATAATGTAAGCTTTTTACGTTATGGTTGACCCGAACTACCAATTCACTTAAATGAAATTAGTTTTGACTGTGTTCAAAACGTCATCATTCAGTCTAGACGTTTTTAAAGAAACTTTAACTTCATTCATATCAGTAATCATGTTTAATGTGGTGATACTTGCAATTACTTGAATATCGCATTGGTCTCCGTAGAGTGTTACAGATCATTAGTGCCAGTTAAGAATTGCATTTATAGTTTTAATTTGTTTTCATAACATACTACATAAACTTTCCATAACATGTACAGACACAGTGCTCTTTCGTCAAATATCGTTTGTATTCATGCAATCAGCGTTTGTTCTCTCAATGCAGTTTTGATGCCCATCGCTTCCCCATCAAACGTCATCCCCCATTTTCTATTTCTATTTATTTATATGAATTATAATATTGTCAGTACTGATCCATAGCCGTTGTTATGTCTATAAGGAGACGGATTTACATAAGTACTATGTACTTGTTTCTGGATCCTTTTCTGTATTTATAACCATGTATTATTGTAATTTAACATCAATAAAATAAAGTTTAAACTAAATATCCTTATCAATGTTACATGATAGGGTGATACATGTAACGTCATGAATGTTGCGTCAACGTAATATACTACTATGTAAAATTACTAAAGTCGGTCGTGTTTTCTTCCGAATGAATTAACTGCATGTGTGCAATTTAGTGAAGTTTACAATGATCATAAGATATTACAAGTGTATCACGCTACAAAGACCAGAAATCTAACTTTGTGAAAAATGTAAGGCAAACGATTTTAATTGGAGTATGTGTAGCGTAATACACCATGCGATACTCGCCATAGGTACTGAGTGCTATTTTACTTCAGAAAATAAGATCATAAACACGTTGTGTTGTCCTCTTAAACTATATACAATACTGTACTTTGATATCTTGTTTCAGTATATGAAGTCACGCCTTTTTTTCGCAAAAGGTTTCCCAATTTGATTTACAAAGGAATAGAGTGATACTATATACCATAATCTTTCGCCCTTGACTTTGAAAATCCGTATTCGCCTACTGTCAAGTTCGCCTTTCACATGTACTTACATGTACCAAATATTGTTTTTTGTTATTTAAGTTTTGCTGTCATGACAAATTGTCCCTCAATGTGAAGGCGAAAGGCGAAGGTTAAACTGCGACAAATATTTCCCGGTATAAAGTATTGATTAAACCATAAATATCTACACATATTGCTTTCTTCCTCAAAAACATTAACAAAAAACCTTCGAATAAAATGGGGGTTTTTTTTGGTTTTTTTTTCAAAACGACATAAATTTACTGACGTTCGTAAAGAAGCTGAATTCAATCTGTAAGTCTGTAAGTTGTCATTTTGATTTGAACATGGAACATACTTCATAAATACTTTATAAATAACACCACCCCACCCCACCCCCGTGTTTAAAATGTCATATTTACTATGCACAACTCAAAATACAACGCTAAACTTTATATTAAACAACAGAAAATTCGAAAAAGAATTAACGCTTTCAACAATTATTCCGTGACATAAATGTTACAGAAACGACGTAAACCTCTCCTTTTTTTCAGTGTATATCATATCATGTTTTTGTTATTTGAATTGTATTAGAAAATGAGACATACTTTTTAAGCTTTGTTGGCGGGCATGTGATAGCGCATTCACCTTCCACAAAGACGGCCATGGTCAGATTCCCCGATCGGACATAAAAAGGAATGTGGTCACCTGCCCAGTCACGTGGGTTTTTTTCCGGGTGCTTCGGTTTATTTCTACAAGACCTGCTGCACATTTATGCCAACAGAATGAATTATTTAAATTTTAAAAAATGTTGTTTTTTAATTGATGCAAAAAAAAAAAAAATCTACGCGGTAAACTTGGCGTTTGTATGAAGTTTTCGTTGATTAATATTTATTATTCGAATATATGGCTTTAGCTATCAGATTTTCTCTGCGATAAATAATGACGCACACCAACATTCCATTTACAAACACGAACATTTTTTCGTTGATAATTTTGATTTTCTGGCAACGCTTACAAATAAGATTATTCTCTCAATCTATATCATACACGTTATGATGTGAAATTGAAGATCCATTCCTACGAGGTTCCTACGTCATTGTCCAAAAGGCATTGATGCTGTTGTCGGGAACTGCGCGATAGACAGTGTTAAGCCCAATGGCATTATGAATCAGGACAGGAGAGCCCACGTTGATTAAAAAGGACCATAATTAACTGTGTAAAAATGTTAATACGACCTCCGGTCTGCGTCATATTATTTTTACTACACAATACATCACAGTTAGTTCGCCTTTGGCGTGTCATGATTCAGAACAAAACATGATTAAAAATTAGCAGTATATGTCAACTACCTAGCAACTAAATGTATTTATGTGATCTATATCGGGAAGTAGAAATATTTAATCTACTAAAATATTAAAGTAAATACTATGCAAAAGGATCTACGTATAACATCAATATATTCCAAATTAAAAGTCTGTGATATTCTTGAAACGAACATTGTTTTTACAAAGAGTATGTTTCAATCAGTAATAGATATATTTTAAAATCAATAATCTGG